GAAAGGGTACAAACAAAGGTCCGGTATTGACTATGACGAGGTATTTGCTCCCGTTGTCCGCTTAGAAACTATAAGATTACTTATTTCAATTACGGCTCAAAATAATTGGAGATTATACCAAATGGACGTAAAATCGGCTTTCTTAAATGGTTATTTGGAAGAAGAAGTCTATTTGGAACAACCCCCAGGTTATATAATTAAAGGGCAAGAAAATAAAGTTTTAAAATTAAAGAAGGCACTTTATGGATTAAAACAAGCCCCAAGAGCTTGGAATACTACAATAGACAAGTACTTCCAAGAAAATGGTTTTCTAAGGTGCCCTTATGAATATGCCATTTATGTAAAAACAAATGAAGATGGGGATATTTTGATTGTGTGCTTATATGTGGATGATTTGATATTCACGGGTAACAATCCAAGTATGTTTGATGCTTTCAAGAAAGAAATGAGTCGTGAATTTGAGATGACGGATATGGGACTTATGTCATACTATCTCGGAATTGAAGTCAATCAAAGTGATAGAGGAATATTTATTTCCCAAGAAGGTTATGCAAGAAAAATTCTCAAGAAATTTAAGATGAATGGGTGCAAGCCGATTGACACACCAGTCGATTATGGGACAAAATTCTCCAAGTTTGATGAAGGGGATAAAGTTGATCCGACTGTGTTCAAAAGTTTGGTTGGGAGCTTGCGCTACTTAACATGTACGAGGCCCGATATTCTTTTTGGAGTGGGACTTATTAGCCGCTATATGGAAGCTCCAACTTCTATCCATATGAAGGCCGCCAAAAGGATTATACGCTACCTAAAAGGTACGATTAGCTTTGGGTTGACTTACTCATCTTCTAAAGATTATAAGTTGTTTGGTTATAGTGATAGCGATTGGGGCGGAGATATCGATGACCGTAAGAGTACAACCGGGTTTGTACTTTACATGGGGAATATGCCTTTCACATGGTCTTCAAAGAAGCAACCAATTGTGACATTTTCGACTTGTGAAGCTGAATATGTTGTCGCTACGTCATGTGTATGTCACATCATTTGGCTTCGAAGATTGTTGAAGGAAATTCACATGCCGCAAGAAGATGCAACCGAGATTTATGTTGATAACAAGTCGGCCATTGCACTTGCAAAAAATCCCGTCTATCATGACCGAACCAAACATATTGATACTCGCTACCATTTTATTCGTGAATGTGTCGAGAACAAAGAGGTCCAAGTGAAGTATGTGAGGTCGCAAGATCAAGTTGCGGATATTCTTACAAAACCTCTCAAGCATGAAGACTTCAAGCGATTGAGAAGAATGCTCGGAGTTGGAAATCAAGTTTAAGGGGGGATGTTAGAATGTAAACTTGATTTTGGGTTAAGTTAATAATTGATGTTTGTTGTAATGGGCAAAGCCCAAAATAATAAGGAGTGTTCTAGAGGAGAAATGTTCTAGAAAGTTTCTAGAGTGTGAGACTTCTAGAGACATTCTAGAGAATAATTAATAATAGAGTATTCTAGATAAGGAGAATTCTAGAGAACTCTCCACCATTTATTGAGGATGTAAGTAGTATAAATATGTGTAGTTGTGCTCATTTGTAATCAAGCATCAAGCTAAGAAATCTTCAAGCAATAAAATACAAGTTCTCTCTTCTTCCATCCTCTCTAATTAGCTAAAAGCTTTTTCTACTTACACAATTTACATCATAACGTCCTAAAATACTTAGCCTCTACCTCTAATATTCCAACACAGTGTACGTGAAGTTGTGTGCTCTGGATCTGCTGATACTACCTTAGGCCCTCCATTCTCTTTTCTATTTTTGAAATTTAGAGTTGAGAAAATTCCCAATATGGGAGTAGAGCATAGATACTTATCCCAAAATAGGAGTCCTACTTTGTCAACCATGTTTGACACGGAATTCTTATGCAAGTGACCATAATACCCCTTAATTAAAAGAAGTTGAAGACTTTCGTTTTAGTAATAAAAGCTGGATTATTTTTTTGCAATTAAAGCTTATTAGTTATTCATTAGTTAATACTGAGCATAAAACAAAATACAAAAATAGAGTTTTACACAAATCTGGTCTACATACTACCACACCAGACTTGGTGTTGCCCCCGTCGTATTTTCCACTTTCGTATTTTCCAGCCCCGCTGCCACCGCCCTCCGATGAGCCCTCCGGCGAGCCCTCCGCTTGGACGGCCGCCATCTCCTCCACCACCACCGCTAATTCTTCTATTGCGTCTACTTCCATATTAGGCAAGTTAGTTGCCTGCTAGATAGATTAAATCATAATCTTCATTAAAATATTGAAATGTTGTTTAATGTCATTTTTTTCTTCTTCTCTCTTTTAATTCTCTTTCAATTTTTCTTTCACCTTTAATTTTTTCTTTTAACTTTTTATTTTATTTTTTACATTGAGTTAATTTAATGAATTTGGATCTCAAAAATATATAATAATGTTTATTTTTCGAAAATGGAAAAACTATTTTAAAAATGTCATATTTTTCAACATGTTTGGCAAATAATGTCATTTTACATTTATGAAGTGTTTTTCAATATGGTTGGAAAATAATGTCATTTTACATTTAAAAAGTTGACATTGATTTCGTAAAGATGGCAATTACATGAATATGTTAGGCAAATAATACCATGTTTTACAAATAATTTTGCCATCTTTTTTATGCAAAATGACATTTTTTGCCAAATATTTTGAAAACATGGCATTTGTAAAATAAGTTAGCCATCTTTTCTTTAATGAATAATTTTTCCATCTTAATATATTTAATATCATAAAAATGACATTGCTTTCAAAAAAGGTTTTCGAAAAATAAACATTAGTTATAGAATTTTCAGATCCAAAATCCTTAAATTGAAAATTTTAAAATAAAAAAAATCAAAAGTAATAAATACAAATCAAATTCAGTTTTATTCAATCACCGGATGTTTCTATTTTAATAATAAAAAGTCAGATCTGAAATAATATTTGTCAAATTTAGAACCTCAAAATAAGATAAATTGAAAAATCGAAATGAGAGGTTGAAGGAGAAGAAGAAGAAGGGAGAGAAAGAGAAGGCTGAGAAGAAAGAGACATAGCCTTGAGTAGATTTGACTGGAGATGGAGTTTAATTTTCCGTTCACACCTGAAATTTACCAAGTTCGGTGGATTCTTTAAATCTGAAGAAGAAGAGGAATAGTGAAATTGATTAAGTTGAAGAGGAAAGAATACAAAGTAAAATGGAGAAAAAGGGAAAAACTGGAGAAGAAGATGTGCGAGACATCTTGAAGATGTGAGTGACGGATGAAGAAAAAAGATAAAGATAGAAGAGAAAGGAGAAGGTGGGAGAGATTAGACAGGTGATGGGTGAGGAGAAAAGGTGTGAGAAGAAAGAGAATAAATGATGGATGAGACGCAACGGAACGAAAAAAATAAGATCGAATATAAGTAAGGGCATTTGAGAAAAAAAGAAAAATAGTTGGAACCGGCGGCAGACAAGAACTCCTATTTAGGGAAATAAACTTAACAACTCCTATTCTTGAACATTTCATATGTTTAACTCCCATTAATAGTAATTTCTTTTTAGAATTTCTAAAATTAGGGTTTGTTGGCATTACATATGGACATTTAATATGAGTAGTGAATATCATCATAGATATTGTTGAATATGTCAGTGAATATGGAAATATATATGTTGTACATGACAGTGATTGAATGCATTGAGAATTTGTTGTGTAGTGATTATTACCGATAGTGCAGTAACACAGAGCAGTAATTTCGCCATTAAACGCAATATATTAAATTAGACGTAAAATAATAAAATTAACAAATCTAAAAAAATAAAAAATAAAAAACTATAGATAATTTTGTAAAGTGAATGAGAAGAGAATTAATTTTGGCGGAAGTGCATTGATTATATTACCGGGTGTGCAGTATGTCGTGCAGTAACGGCAATATAAAATGCAGTAATTTTAATTGGACGAAATTAGTGCAAAATGTACATATATAAAATAAGGGCATTCTTGTCATTAAACTTTTAATTAAAAACGTTAATTTCTTTTTTCTTTTTTTATTTTCAGTCATATAAAAAGCGAAAAACTAGTTAGATCATAGATTGGGAAACATATTGAGTTTTAGTCATATTCTAGAAAATTTAATACTCCCTTCGTCCCAATTTGATAGTCTCATATCTTTTGGGCACAAATTTTAATAAAGTGGTTGAAAAGATGAAAGTTGTGGTTGAGATTTGAGTATAATAATATGAAATGATATGGACCACATCTTTCTTTTCAAAAAGGGAAACAAGATCATCATTTTTGTGATATCCCAAAAAGAAAATACATGACTATCATTTTGGGATGAGACGGAGAGTAACTATTTTCCACGCTAAAAAAAGTAGTACAATGTGTTTTACATTGTAAAAAAACAAGCTAAAAACCCATTATCTAACCATGATTACATCAATATGGCATTAAGACGAGACACTGTTTTCTAGTCTCGAACACAAACAGTTCAATGCGTTACGTTGTCCAAAAACAAAAATTAGAAAAAAAAGAAATATCATAAAATAATTAACGAACGTACCATGACCATAGAATCTTCTATGAAGCATTTTTTTTCAAACACATAAATTAGTATAATGTCTTTTCCAAACTCAAAAACAACAACAACAAAAAAGTTTAAAGATTGGAAATAAAAAAGTCATGACCGCGAAGGGTAAAACAGTCATAGAATTTCTATTTTTTCATGTTTAAATATATTTAATCCTCACAAATAAAGAATGGAAAAATAGTCCAACTATTAGAATGAGACTTTAGCAACCGTGTTATATTATATTCAAGGTATTTCCCTAAATTGTGGTGTAATGTTTGGTATGTAATGATTTGATTTCTTTTTATTGTTTCTAGATTCTAGGCCTTATAAGCTAAGATAGCAATGGCATGATGATGCAATTGCGTCAACCATGACTCATAAATTTATAATTTCCCTTTCTCGAACACTTTATTCTCCTATAATATACGCCCCTCCATCCCACAAATTAAACATATCACCGAATTACGGTTTACTTTCTCAATCTCCGAATTTCAACCATTAAACATATATCGGCGATCTCTATGGATTACTACGGCGCCACCTTAAGCGACGGCTCATCCAATTCCAGCAGCGGCCACAGCGATTACGCACTCGATGAATCGGCGGCGGTCGCCTGGTTTGGCAGCATTGTGTCGGAGAACGCCATCATCGTTTTCGGCAGGCGCGGTTGCTCCATGTGCTACGTCGTGCGGCAGTTGCTCTTAGGCCTCGGCGCTAACCCCACCATTTACAACGTCGATGAGGAGGACGAGGTCCCCGTCATCGACCAGATTTCTCGGTTTATCAGCCGCACTGAACATCATGCCGTCCAACTGCAGCCGCTTCCGGCAGTTTTCATCGGCGGGAAGTTTTTTGGTGGCTTGGATGATGTCATGGCAGCTCATATTTCTGGCGATTTGGTGCCTCAGCTTATAAAAGCGGGTGCCCTTTGGCTTTGAGTCGCATTTTTTAGTCTTTTTGTACTGATAATAAAATGTAGGAGATTTCTATGCTGCCTTTGTTAAAATGAAGGACCCTAAAATGTATGCATTGAGTAAAGAACAAAATGAATTCAACTTGTAACTAAACAGTCATTTATTTATCCTTATATGTAGTATTTAATATACTACATATTTCTTTTATATGGAGTGATTTGAGTAGTCATCAGCATAGCCGCTGACCCCAGCACCACCAGGCCGTCACCAGCACCGTCGTCACTGGTACAGTCATTGCCGTCGCTGCCGTCGGAACTGACTCAGTGACTTCCGGTCACTGACCAGTGAGTGCCGCCCAACTCCGGTCACTAGCTAGTGAGTGCCGCCCAACTCCGGTCACTAATCCAGTGATTTCCACCCAACTCCGGACACTGATTCAATGACTTCCGCCCAAATCTGAACACCGCTGACGAACACACCGCCGGTGACTTCCGCCACCAAGCACCCCAACTCTGCCCTGTTAGCCCCTACCACTATTTCACAGGTCAATCGTAGGCCACCCTAACCCACAGATCAGTCCCGCCAGTCCATCCAGATCCAAACCCCACCCTCACACCTAAGCCCCAACTTTCGACCCAAGCCCCCAACCTCACCACCTCCTTTAACCGCCAGCTCGTCGCCGCCCCCTCACCCAAGCTTTAATGACCACCAAAATCACAGATCTGTTCAACACTATCGCTCGCCTAGCCATCGTCGCTTAGTCGGCGCTCGATTGGCCGTCGTAACCTAATCGTCGAGATGGCAGTGCGACCATTGATGACGGTGTCTGATCTTCGAGAAGCAGCGACGAAAAAGAATGAGAAGAAGAAGAGTTGTTGTGGATCGGAGGGGCGGCGACGGCTGGAGTGCGGTGGAGCAGAGGGGCGTCAGCGGCTGCAGTGCAGTGTACTGATAGGGCGTCAGCGGCTTAGTGCAGTGGAGCGGAGGTGACTTGAGCGGCGGCAGCTGGAGTGCACTGGAGTCTGGAGCGCCGGCGATTGGCCTTGGATGAGAGAAACGAAGCTTGAAGAAGATAAGAAATGAAGAAGTTCAGTCTCAAATGAAGAGTGCGGACGGTTGGCCTCTCGCGTGTCACCCAACCGATGCGGTTAGGGTTTTATAGGCGTGTTGTTGGTCCCGGTTATACTGGATACAGTCTAGACGGGGGGTGAATAGACTGTATTGGTTTTTAGCTTTTTAAACTAAGTACCAGATTTACAGAATAGCCTGTTCTGTTGAAAGAACAGACTGGCAGCGGATGGGGTTCTGGTAGGGAGTTCTGTTAGCCTCAGAGAAGCAAAGGCAGTAGGCCTTCTGTTAACTCGTAGAACAAGTTCTGCTGAACACAGATACCAAGTCCAAGGAGTTATACAGTTCTAACTAAATGCAAGTATTAAAAGCAGTAAGTAAACGACACCAGGGATTTTTATAGTGGTTCAAGGAACAACTCGTTCCTCTAATCCACTGTTCCACTAAGCTGTAAAAACTGCCGTTTACAAAGCCTTAGTCCTAGAACTTAAGAAGCACTCCACGTCTTCTTCAAGCCTAGATGTGTCCTGGGATGCACTGCCTGGCTTCCTTTAACACTGGTCCTTTCACTGAGTTTCCTTGAAGTATCACCACTTCACTACTCCAGTTATTTGGACGTCCTTCTCGTAGCAAGAAGAGTTTCTGTTGAAACTGAGGTTCCTCCAACTAGCTTCGTTACAAAATATTTGTAAGTGATGAGCTTGAAGAGTTGAAGAACACTTGGAACTTTGCTTGAGTTGGAAAGAGTATTTTTCCAACTTCTGCCTTCTCTTGTAGAAGATAATGAGTTTGAATCTCAAGGAGGCTTTTTGCTTTTTAGAGTTTGAATATCTTGCTTGAAGAGTTGTAGCAAAGGTTAGCAAAAGTTGCAAAGTTGTTTCGGTTGTTCTTCGTAGTGTATCTTTTATACTGAGGTTGTTTTCCCGTTGGAGGAGTAAGAGGACAACTGCATTTAATGCGCGAGCAGTTGACTTGACCAGTAGGACCCGGTAAAGTTGGCGGGTTACTATTTCGGGATAAAGTAATCCTGACATTGCGGCCAATCATCTGCAATTACTCCACGGAGTATGGGAAGCATTAAATGAGCATTTAATGCGAGCACTGTAGCTTTTCCGTTTCATACTCCTAGCCGTTGAAGGAATCTTTAAGTTGACTTCCCGGCTTTGTGGATTTCTTCCAAGTGTCAGACCTTCTGGTGTCATTGGCAGAGAACTGATTCAGAGAAGATCATGAGCACTTCTGTTGTTGGTAGCTTACAGAGAACCAGGAGGGTTTCTGTCACGCTAAAGGACAACAGAGACCCTGACGTTCTCTGTTCCCAGACAGAGAACCAAGATCTTCTGTCAGGAGAACTTCTGGTAGAGAGGCCTTCTGGTAGTCGAATATGCTAAGAACTTTACAAGGGAAAATTCTAATACATAATTTCTAAAGGGGTACTCTACAGTCCTAATTAATATAGCATCATCAAAATCTAAATACAATTATTTCTTACAATTTCCCCCTTTTTGATGATGCCAAAACCCTTTAACTATTTTTTCCAGAGAAGTGCCTTCACCATAAAAATATTAAGTTTAAAAACTTCCATTAAAATCTTGGTGGGCAACTTGGCATAGGAAAATAGTAAGAGTACGATACATTCAGATAGCAGAATATAACGGAAATAAACAAACACAAACAGAAGGCAAAAAGACAAGAATTTGAGGAAAAGCACTTCAAAGTAAGAAGGCAGAGATGTGATTTTATTAGATAGGTTTTACAGAGTTTAAACCTTACACATTCTCCAGATTAGCTGCCTGTAGAGCTTCTTCCTCTAGTCTTTGAAGCCTGAGCAGTTCTTCGTTTATTTCAGCTCTGATTTTGACCAGATTGCCAGACCTTTGATAAGATGCTCATATAGGAGAAAGCTTACAGTCCAAATAGTTGAGGACACCTTCATGTATGGTCTTTCCTGGGACAATGTTCTTCTTGTACCATTCTTCTGCTTCTTCAAGTGATCCTCCATACCTAACTCTGACAACACCATCTTTGTCCAGATAGAGGTGCTGTTGTTGGGTAGGAGTCATTTTAGCCTTCATCTCTTCAAATTGAGCTCTGTCAATTTTCTGAGAGCCACCCAATCTCCACTCAGTGAAGTTGAAAACTTTCTTCTTCTTGGTAGAACCTCTGCGAGGAGAAGAAGGTCTTGAAGTACCAGCTTCCCTCTTCTTCTGTTGGGAGGCCTGGAAGTAAGGAGTTGGGTCAATATCAGATGAGGGCCCAGCAGTTGGCCTAGGAGGCAATTTTTTCTGTTGGGGGTCCTTTCCCTTTTCCCCCTTTTTGGCATCATCCAGGTCAGAGATCATCATGGCGATTTTCTGGAACTCTGTTGCCTGGGAGATGGCTATCTGCTCAAGAGTTTCTGGCAAGGTCTGCGTGACAGAGGTCAGACCTTCTATTAAGTTCTGTTGACGATCAAGAGCAGACTTGATGTCCTGAGAGCCAGCTTCAAGTAGTATCAGCTTCTGATACCTTTCTTGATCCTTCTTGATCAGGGTGGCCACTTGATCTTTGTGATCATTATTCAAGAGTTGTAGCTGCATAAACTTCTCAGCAGATTGGTCTTCATACCATTGTACAATGTCAAGGGATTCTGTTATATCCTTGAGTTGTTTATTCTGCTTATTGAGAATCTGAGACTGGGAGTAGAGAACAGAGTGGACACCATCCACTTCTCTCGCAACAGCATTAAGCTTTGCAGATGATGATTCCATGAAGGTGACCAGTGTCTGGGTCAGAGCTTCAACCTTCTCTGAGATATGCTGAAGGCCAGCCTCAAGATGATTGTGGACAAAGGTGAGATGTTCATGGTGCTTGGTGTTGATCTCAGCCAATTGATCCATGCCATCAAGCATTTTACCACCAAAGTCTTCAGCTGCAGTGACAAACTGATTGAAGGAGATTTGGGGCTTATCTTCTTTGCAATCTGTTTTCCCACGCATACCTAGACCTCTTGATTTAGGCATAGGAGGCCTTCGGGTTGTTCTTCACTCTGAGGAGGGGTCTTCCTCCTTTTGGACGTTTCATCAGCAGCAATGGAGGATGTAAGGAATCCATCATTGTCACTGGAAGAGGATGGCACCCTGAAGATAGGTTTCCTGATGGGGGTGGAGGCCACAGAGTGTTGAGGGGAGACAGGTGTGGCTGCATCTAGTGGTGTAGGCTGTGGAGAAGCAGTTCTGGATTTGTTGATGGAGGGGTTTTCTTGTTGATGTGTGGAAGCATTCTGTTGTTGTGAAGGAGAGGGTGGAGGTGATGGTGATCTGGATCTGATTGAGGGTTGGGATTTGCAGGGAGATGGATTTTTGGTTTTGGGTGAAGAGGTATTCTGTTAGGGTGAAATTGTAGAGGAGATGATCTGTTGGTGTTGGTAAGGGATAATTTGTCCTTGAGGGGATGGTGATTTGTTCTTTGGAGGAGAGAACGGTTTGCAGTGTGAAGGAGATGAAGATTTGGGGGTGGAGGTTTTCTGGTGTGAAGGGGTTTTCTGTACAGAGATGGTTTTCGGTGAGGGTGAGGGGGATTTCTGTTGGGGTTGGGGAGAAGAGTTTTTAGGAGAGGGAGGGGGAGAAGGAATGATTGGGGGAATTACCTCTAGTATTGTTTCTGTGAACAGAGAGTCTCTCCATTCTTTGATAAGTTTTTCCATGACCAGAGGTAGATCATCGGCAGTAGAGGGTTCACCTTCTCCATGTGCACTGTGGCGAAATTTGATCATTGATTCCTTCCTCTTCTTCTCGACTAGCCAAGCATCAAAGTCGTTCATCTCATGCTCTTGAAGAGCCTTCACATGGTCTTCTGGTGAATTTCTGACCAGAGGTGCTTTTCCTTGAAGTTTCTCCTTCTTCTTCTGTAGGACAGAAAGAAGAAAATCCTTGTTTAGGCAGGACTCTACATCTTTTGTGTCAGCCCATCTGAGTACTTCTTCTTCTTCAGAGATGAAGTAGGACAAGTTCTTGAGGAGCTCAGTGAGAGGTCCCACTCTCCACTTTC